CCCCCCCCCCCCCTCAATGTTGTAATGAACTGTGGTATGTGATGGAGTAAAGATTAAAGATACACACCTCGGCATAGTGTGTGGTTTCTAAGAGGATTTCCATATTTTCGGAAATCGAAAACGAGATCTGCACAATTTCTTTCGCTTTCATTGAAGAGTTGTGTTTCTGTGGTTCTAAGATCTACACTTAAGATGTGGATATTTTCACTTTATGGGGGGGGGTGAGAAGTAGATTTTTTCTTTTCTTTTTCTTACAAAAATTCTCATTGTGGATATTTTTTTTACTTAGGTCAATAAGATGAGTGTGAACCTAAGGATCACATAAGAATTTGCCTTTGTTTCATTGATTATACAAATCTCACTGAGGCAACCAATGCAACACTAGCGACAACCAGTAAGGCCTATTGTTTGATGAGCAAACTAAATTAGGAAAGAAGTTGGTTATTCTTTCCGTTTCAATTTAAATTGTCTGTTTTGATTTATGAAGTTATTCATCCAACTTTGTTTATCCAATAAACAAGAATAGAACTAAATGAGATATAAACCAAAAAAATAGAATTTGAATGTGGCCTCATTTGAGAATAGCATTCTCATTTGGGTTTGAAAATGCCAAAAGTAAGTGTTATCGCTTAATAGTTTTTTTGAAAATGCTAAAAATATTGTTAAATAAGTGACTCTAAAGTCAAAATTAACTTATGAGATGCAAGAAAATGGGGTGGGGTGTGTGTTATTTTAGGGTCGAGGCAAGGTAGGGGGGTTTGCCGGGGAAGTTAGGGGGGATAGGAACTGTCAATTTTTTGAAAGGGGTACTCGAGCACTTCCGAGTCGTCCCATGACATTCAGGGGCGGAGGGGGGGGGGGGGGGGGGGGGGGGGCTGTCGGGGCACGTGCCCCCCGGCGAAGCTATGGTGAAGAGTCCTTTACAGGAGTATGTTAGTTACCAGCGTCGTTGTGCCCCTCCGACATGCTCGAGCTTCCCAGATCTAGTTGCTGACGACTTGCCGTCTCTGCTCTCTTTTCCTCAAATAGTTTTACGGAGTATTTATTGGGTTATTTTAACTCCGTTACTTTACTAAACGATGACGTTTTAGTCTTGGGAGTTAGTTGATGGTTTAGAAAAAAACAAACAGTACCCTTTCATCCAATTCTCACATCCTCTTTTACTTTTCTTAAATACTCTTTATTTGTTTGCTTTCATTATTCCGTAGTAGTAACTAGTGTAGAACCCATTTACATCCTCCCTCAAATATTCTGTTTTTTCTTGATTTATGAAATCTGATTGAAAATATTTTTTATTAAATTTATAAGAATCATCACAAATAAGATTAAAACATATGAAAAATATTAAATATGAGCTCCATATTTTTTGTCTTCTAAATAGAAATTATATTTTCTATATTTTACTATTTCTTTAATCTTTTTTAGCAAATTTATTTAATTATAAATGTAAAATTTTTAAATAAAAATTATATTTTTAAAATTATATAAAAAAATTAAAAACTAATAAGTTTATATTAACTTATGAAAATAAGTAAAAATAGATAATTAAAATTTGACTATGTTAACAATAACTAGAAATAAAGTTTTAGTGCGTAAGGAATAAATTGCAAATACTTATTGATTTGTTTTTGATAGATTATTATTAATCTATAAATCTATAGTATATCTAATTACTTTGATTGGAATTCAATTAATGATATTGTTATTTTATTAAGAATGATTTTATATAATTTTGAGCAAATTCGTTACTCCGTAGATGACAAATGACCAAAATCTTATTCAAGAAGCAAAAGTTAGTACTCCTTATTTGGTATGATTAAGAATAATGACATTTTGTTGTTATATTTTTGTATATGATTTTAATCTTTGAGATACAATTTATTATTTAGTTATTAGTTTATATTGTAGTTAAAAATTTGGGAGTATTGCTTTGGACTCTCCCGACCCCGAGTGTGCCCCCCACTAGTGACTCCTGGCTTCGCCACTGATGACATTGCTGGGCAATGTCATCCCATGGCATAGATGGACAATGTCTTGGGATCCGTCTCTATGGAGCATTTGAGCCTATAAAATTAACGTACTTTTAGTACGTGCGATATCGAAATGCATGGCGTTGGGTTATTATGACCCAACGTATTGGGTTAGTCTATTTTGGGCTTTTCAAATATTGGACCTGCTGCTTCATTCATGTACAATATTTTACTTACTTTCAGCCCAATTTTCAAATGGAAGTAATTTCCATTTCCTAACTCAAGATGAATTCCTCATTTACTTTTCCCCTTGGCCATCTTAGAAAGTTTTGACCGGATAAATGTGTTGGTTAATTGTTAAAAATATTTGTTAAACAAATTACTTCAAAATAAAATTACATCATACGGTAAAATAAACGATTACCTATTTAAAAAGTTGCATCATATTTTCTACAGAATAAGATGCGACACTATTATGGTATTGTAAAAACTAATTAACGGAAATAAGTAAATAAAAAAATCATCTTCTGAATAACGAAGTGAGACAATTAATTCAAAACGGAAGGAGTAAAACTTGTATTGTGTATTTTAAAAGTTTTAACTTTATTTTTAATTTTTTAAATAGTATTCAAATAAATTAAGTTAAAAATAACTTCACCCAAAGAAACTTAAATTTAAACTCAAATATTGTAAAAATCATAAAATAAAATTTTGTTTGGAATTATTAAAGTTAAAAAGTGAAAGGCTACCATAGATCTGAACAGAAGTTGGGTTGGGAGATAGAGGAGGCATGCAGAGCCAGCTAAGATGGTTATTAATTGTAAATTCAGATCGTATTAAATTCAGCAGTGAATTTATTAATTAATTAATTAAACTGCCTTATATATATATATATATATATATATATATATATATATATATATATATATATATATATATATATATATATATATATATATATATATATATATATATATATATATATATATATATATATATATAT